TGTCCATGGAGTTACCATCCTTATGCCCCAGCTCAAAACAGGCTGTGTGGCTATCCAATGCCAAGAAAAAGATTTACAATATGTATTAATACTCTTTTGATTTGAAGTTACCTTCCACTAATGAAAAAAAAACTATTATATTACCTCTTGCCTTTTTATTCAGTAATTCAAGGTTTTGGATATGTGTCTTAGTTATTTTTCTCATTGCTGAGACAAAATACTGGACGCCCAAAGTTAAGGGAAGAAAGGTCTTTTTAGCTTACAGTTCGCAAAAGTTTCAGTCCATAATTGGCAGGCTCCAAGGCAAAGTGGCATATGGCAGAGGGGCAACAGTTAATGGCAGGTGGAAGGTAGCAAAAGCCACAAGAGAAGGGAGACAAGCCTCTTTCTGTCCCTTACATTGTATCCAGTCTGCTGGGATTAATCTTTTATACAAACAAGACATGCTGTTGCCCTTTGGGAGCTTATTATTTAAGAACATATATGGTGTATATCCGGGTAACTGTAGCTCAAGGTAGAGCACATGAGGTGCTAAAAGAGGTACAAATAATTGGTTATGGAAATTTTAAAAGGGAGAAATTACTTTCTCCTATTCGATATCAGATGGCATCAGAGGTGGAATGAAAGATCTGTATAACATGTAGGCGAAGTACATCACTGGTTATAAACAGAGGCACAAAGAGAAAACAGATTTGTTTGCCTATGCAGTTGTGGGAAGGAGAAGTGCAGTAAGCTTTGCCATGTATCTCTAGGATGGAGAGCCTGTGTCTCTAAAGAGTGTCAGTAGGACTCCACTGAGCCTCTTCCCTGAGCACATAAGCAAGGTCTGGGGCTATAGATATGTATCTGCTGGAGCTTGCAGTTCCCAACAGTGTTGATTGTCCTTAGTACTTTTCCTTTATCTCCTTTAGCACAGTTGTGATTACATTCATTTGTGTGGTTGTTCCATTAAAGTAGCAACCACATATGTTTCATTCACCATTTTATTTCTCTGAGTATATTGCCTAGCATATTACCATTCAATAAAGATTCATACAAAGAATCAAAGTAATAGTTCCACACAAATAAAAATAAGAGTGTGAATAATGACAATAAGCAGGATTTGTAATAAATGTAACTAAGAAACTTGGATACTGTGGAACTGTTTCTGTCTTTTTGAGACAGGGTCTCACTATGCAGTTCAGGCTGGCCTTGAACTCACTTTGTAGCCCAGGCTGGTCTCAAAACTCGCAATGATCCTTCTGCCTCAGCCTCCCAAGTGCTGGGATTATAGGCGTGCACCACCATGCCCCGCATGTATTTCTGTAGTAAGCAATATAGCCTGTACAAATATTTCTTACTTTATCTTGTTTTTTTTTCTAGTGTTGTCTTTATTTGTATTCTTAGCAATTATTTTCCAAGTAATAAATGTATAGTCAGGAATATTTCACTTTCGTTTTTAATGAGAACATAAAATGAAGTTGGTTGTATGCAGAACCATATATCTCAACAGAAATTTTTCAGACTGACGTATATCTCACTGATGATTTGCTAACCAATTTATTCACTGCCAAAATGTCTACCAGTGCCACAAATTACAATGAAGTCAGTACAGCCATTAGTTTTGTCCTCCTCCTGTGAACTTGTATACTATACCTGCCTCTTCCTTGTGGCCTTTGTAACTTTTCCCTTGCATTACTGTCATTTGTGGGCATGTCTTTTGTGGACATGTCATCAGGGAGCTCTAAACCCATCACACTGCTACTTGATATTGGGAGTGTCAGCAGCTTGGTCTCTAGAGCCCAGATTCACACTTGCAAGCAGCTTTACATTCCCAGAATTTGAACTACAGTATTTTTATTAATTGTATGGACTTTTCTTTGGGGTGATCATCTCAGATCCTGAGAAACACTGCACTTTTAAATAAAAAGAATTCTCATGTCAAAGGCAATATAAAATGATTGCTAAATGAAATGACTTTTGTCAGTGGCCTGAAAGTTTTTTAACTAGAGGCAGCTTTGAAGTTCATTGGTTTTGAGTATACAGAGAAAGCTTATATCTATAAAATAATGTGTAATATTTTGTTATATAGTGATGTGCTAATTTTGGGGGGAAACTGTATTTTTAAATTGCTGTATTCTTTTGAAGTGACGTTCGTCACCTTTCTATGACAGATTTATAGTAATCTCCGGTTTAAGGTACTTTGATAAAGTCAATCATGAAGTAGCATTGTTACAGTGAAATCTTAGATAGTTTTGAATTTTCTTCTGCTGAAACTAGAACTCCTTCATCTAATAGTTGAGGAGAAAAATAATGATATTAACATGCTGGTGTTTTCACTGTGTCTGTTTCTATGAAAGCTTTCCCCTTCCTAAATCCCACCATTCCAAATCTGTGGCGGAAGAGTGTGGAGATAACTCTCCATGTTACCCACATTCTCATAAATCTGAATCCTGCCTGGTCCTAAGAAATCTGCTGTTTCTTTGAGTGGACTTGAACAATATACCTGCGCTCAATCATAATCCATTTCAAAATACCTAGACTACAGAATAAATAGGTGAGATTTCACTTTGCATTTGTATTTTCTTTCTAGGATGAAGAGGCACAGACAGAGGTGAAAGCAATAATCAAGTCCTTGAAGAGGTAAATAAAAGAACTTACTTTTTGACAAATCTAATACAGTCTTCTGAAATTTAAGTTTCCCAGAGTTACGTTTTTATCATTCTGTTTGCCTTTTGATGTAAAGGTAATATATTTAGGTTTGAAGGTAAAATCATATTTCTGTGAAATGCATTCCACTAATAGCATGACAAAACAAATTATGTTATTTGGAGAATATACTTAATATGACTATACATGGTGATTCATAAACACATATGCTTTATATTTTTTCTATCAAGAAGCTATAGCTTTCAGAGTATTTTAAACAAAATATTTAAATCAACCAATAAAGTGAACTCTAATAAGTATTTTATTGTTTTAATGGAGACCATAAAACCTAATAATTTCATAAACTGGATAAAAAATGAAAACAGTGAACAGAGTTATTGGTAGAAAAACAAAAACAAAAGGATAAACATGATTAGTATTTGGATAAATATGAATAAAATTGCAGTAAAACACTTTTACCATCAAATTTGCATAGGTTTTTCCTCTTCATTCAGAAAACATTGAATATTGGCAGTATTGCCATAAGTTGAAATATTCTCGTATACTGTTAGTGGGAGAATATTTTTGCACAATTCTTTGGTAAAATATATCTAAGGTCTTAAAAATATGTTAATGCTAATCTTCTAATTCAACTTCATGGAAATAAAAAAGTATAAATGTTTGTGTGCACATGTTTATAAGAACATAACATTATGTTCAACAATAAGCAATTTATCACATTAGAATTTAACTACAATGTAAGATTTTGACATTAAAAATAATTACAGAAGTGATATAGGGGAATGTAGAGAGCATCTTAAGTATACAACTAAATAGTACATATATGTGATTTCAGCTATATGGAAATATGTACAGAAAAGTAGTAGAAAATGTAGTAAAATGAAAGTAGTTTATATTTCTGTGAGGCTTATCTTATTTACTGTATTTCCAAATTTTATTTATTTATATTTCTTATAAGAACTTATTAATTTTATCAAATATTGGCCTTCAGTGCATGCATTTTGATCATATTTATCCCCACATGACCCTTCCTTACATTCCAGTCCTCCTCCCACTCATTCCCTTCCTCTATTAAAGTACAGTAGTCTCCATTCTACTTTCATGTCACCATTTTTAGATTCCACGTATTTGGGAGAACTTGATACTGTACTAGTCAACATGTCAATCCCCAGATCCACCAATTTTCCTGCAAATGACAAAAGTTCCTTCTTTACAGCTGGATAATACTATGTATATATACCACATTTTCTTTTCCGTTCATTTGTTGCTAGCCACCTAGGCTGCCTTCCATATCTTGGCTATTATAAATTGTGCTGCAATACTCAGCGGTATGCTGGTATGCCTATAGTAAGCTGACTGTAATTCCTTCAAGTGTATACCAAGGAGTGGTACAGTTGCATCAAATGGTAGCTCTATTTTTAGTTTACTTAGAAACTTCCATATTAATTTCCTAGTGGCTATACTAATTTACATTCCTACCAGCAGAATAGAAAGATCCCTCTCCCCCAAATTCTCCCCAGCATTTATTTTTTTGTATTCTTGATGGCCACTGTAACTAGGATGAGATGGAATCTCAACATAGTTTTGATTTGGAGCTCCCTAGAGGATAAAGATATTGAACATGTTTTTAATGTATACATTGGCCTCTTGTACTTCTTTTGAGAAGTGTCAGTTCAGTTCCTTTGTTCATATATTCATGGGGTATTTGTTTTGACTTTTTTTTTTTTTAGTTCTTTATGTATTCTAGCTACTAATCCTGTGTTAAAAGAGTGGCTGGCAAAGATGTTCTCCCATTTTATAGGTTGTTGCTTTATTCTGTTAGTTGTTCTACTTGCTGTGTAGAAACTTTTGAATTTGATGTCCTGTTTGTTGATCCTTGATATTATTTCCTGCACTATTCAAGTCCTATTCAGGAAATCTTTGCCTGTGTCTATGACTTTAAGTGTTTCCTCTATATTTTCTTCCAGCAGTTTCAGAGTTTCAGGTATTATACCTAGGCCTATTATGCAGTTTGAAATTGATTTTTAAGATCTGTTTCAATCTTCTGTTTATGGATAACCAGTTTTCCAAGCATCATTTGTTAGAAGCTGTCTTTTCTCCAATACATTTTTGAGTCCTTTGTCCAGAATGAGTTAGCTATAGTTGTATGGATTTCTTTCTGTGCCCTCTGTTCCTTTCCATTGGTCTGTGTACCTATTTTTGTGTTAGTACCATACTTTTCTTGTGACTATGGTTTTGTAGTATAATTTTAAATTGGGTATTGGGATGCCTGGAGCTTTGCCCTTTTTACTTAGGATTTATTTGGCTATTGTGGGTCCTTTGTGTTTCTATATGAATTTTAGAATTGCTTTTTTCTAGTTCTGTAAAGAATTTTGTTGGTATTTCAATGGAGATTGTGCTAAATCTGTAACTTGCTTTTGTTAATGAGGCCATTTTAGCAATATCAATTCTGGCAATCCATGAACATGGTAGGTCTTACTGTCTTCTAGTGCATTCTTCAATTTCTTTCATTTCAATGTTATGAAATTTTCATTGTAGAGGTCCTTTGCTTCCTTGATTAGATTGATCCTCAGATTTTTTTGAAAATATTGCAAATGGAATTGTTTTTCTGATTTCTTTCTCAACTAATCCATTGTTAGTGTATAGAAAAGCTATTGATTTTTGGTGCTGATTTTATACCCTGCTATATTGCTGAATTCAATTTATCAACTCTAAAATCTTTTGGTGGAATCTTTAGTCTTTTAAGTGTAGGATCATATTACCTGTAAACAAGAATCATTTGACTTCTTCTTTTCCTACCTGACCCTTTTATGTCTTCCTGTTGCCTACTTGCTCAAGCTAAAATTTCAAGTACTGTATTGAATAGAGTGGTGAGAGTGGAAACACTTGTCTCATTTGTGATTTTAGAGGAAATGCTTTCACTTTCCCCCCATTCAGAATGGTATTGGCTGTGGTTTGTCATATATGGCTTTTACTGTACTGAGGTCTGATCTTCAATATCCAGTTTCTTTGGGGCTTTTATCATGAAAGGATGTTGAATTTTGTCAAAAGCTTTTTCTGCATCAGTTGAAGCAATCATGTGACTTTTATCCTTAGTTCTATTTATGTAGTGTATTTATTGATTTGTTTATGTTGAACCATCCTTGCATCCCTGGAGTGAAAGCAACTTGATCATGGTGTATGATCTTTTTAATGTGTTATTGAATTTGGTTTGTATTTTACTAAGAATTTTTATAGCAGGAATTATTTAAGAAAGATGGCCTATTTTTTTTCTTTTTTAAGTTAATTTTATTGGTATATTTTAGATATACAGAATGATCACATTCATCGTAAGGAATTTGTACTTAATTCTTTTTTCCCCATTCCCCTACCTTATATTCAACCCCTCTTCCACTCTCATTTTTACAAAAACTTTGTCTCCATTTTTTCCTTCTTTTCCCCTTTTTCTTCTTTTCCCTTGTTTCCTTTCCCCTTTCTTCCTCCCTAGTTCTCATCCCATTTGAACATTGTCTTCTTATTTGATAATATCTAGTATACATCTTGGTCCTTATTTACACTTTTGTCTCTGTGTTCATAAAGGATACTTGTGTATACTTTTTCTTTTTTTGGTTTGCCCTTCTCCAGGTTGAATATCGGGGTGATTCTGGCCTCGTAGAATAAGTTTAGAAGCATTCCTTCCCTTTCTATTTTATGGAATAATTTGAGGAGCAATGATGTTAATTTTGCTTTAGAGGTCTGATAAAATTCAGCAGTGAACCTGTTTGGTCCTGGGCTTTTCTTTGTTGGAAAACTTTTTATAATTGCTTTCTGTGTCACTGCTTGTTATTGATCATTTTGGGTTTTTTAAATCCTTCTTAGTTCCATATGGTAGGTCATGTGTGTCTAGAAACTGATCCATTTCTTTTAAATTCTCCTGTGAGAATATAGGTTTTCAGAGGTTTGTTATCCTGTGGATTTCAATGCTGTCATTATAACATTCCCTGTTTCATCTCTAGTTATATTGAGTTGGATCTTCTGTCTTTCTTTTGGATGGTTTGGCTGAGCATACATCAACCTTGTTTATTTCTCAAAGAACCAACTCTTCAGTGATTTGTATATTGTTCTTTCAATCTTTATTTCACTAATTTCAGCTGTAATTTTTATTATTTCTCTCCTTGAGTTTGGTTTTCATTGTTTTTATTTTTCTAAGACTTTGAGATGCATCATTAGGTTATTTATTGAGGAGCTGTCTGATTGTTTGATGTAGGCACTCATAGCTGTAACTTTCTCTCTTAAAACTGCCCTTTTTGCATCTCAGGGATTTGGTATGTTGTGTTTCCCTTTTCATTTAATTTTAGGAATCTTTTCATCACCCCCCCCCAATTTCTTCAATGAAACACTAGTTGTTCAAAAGTAGGTTGTTCCACCTCTGCACATTTGTATAGTTTCTCTTGTTGTTGATTTCTAGTTTCATTCCATGTGATCTGATAAGATGCAAGAAATTCTTTTAATTTTTTTTATTTGTTTAAGGCTTTCTTCATGGCCTAAAATATGATCTGTTTTGGAGAACATTCGATGAGATGCTGAGAATAATATATATGCCATAGTTTTGGATGAAATGTTCTGTAGACATCTGTTAAGTCCCTCTATTGTATGATACAGTTTAAGTTTGATGTTTCTTTGTTGATTTTTCTTTGTCTGGATGACCTAATGGTTGGTGAGAATAGAGTATTGAAGATATTTACTATTTTTATACTGTGACCTATGTGCCCTTTATATTGAGTAGTGTTTATAAAATTGGGTGGACTGGTGTTAAGTGAATTTATATTTATAATCATTATAACTTCTTGGTGGATTGTTCTCTTTACCAATATGTAGCGGCCTTTTTTCTCTTATCTGATTATATTGTCCTGAAATCTGCTTTGTCATATGTAAATATAGCTATTCCTGGTTGCTTTCAGGTTTCATTGTACAGAATATTGGTTTTCATCCTTTAACATTCAGTCTATCTATGTCTTTGCTAGCTATATCTGTTTCTAACAAGCAGCAAAGGATTAGGTCTTCTTTAAAATCCAGTCTGCCAGTACATGTCTTTCAATTAGAAAATTAAGACCATTTACATTCAAAATTATAGAAAGATCTATTCTACTTCTATTATTGTGTTACTTTTCTAATTTCTTTCCTAATTCTCAATAGCTTATCTACTTTCCCCCTTCTATGTGTAACATTTCTTTAAGTATCTTTTGCTATGCTGGCTTACTGGTTGTAAATTTCTTTAGTTTATGGTTATCCTAAAAGGTCCTCATAGCTCTTATTTTGGACAGCTTTGCTGGGTATAATAATCTAGGTTGACAGTTTTTTTTTAGGGGTTGAAATACATTGTTACATGCCTTCCTGGCCTTTTAGATAGGGTTTGTAAAGAGAAATCTGAAGTTATTCTGATGAGTTTGCCTATAAGTGACTTGATGATTCTCTCTTACAGCTTTCAATAGATTTTTCTTGTTCTGTGCCCTTTATTTTAACTATAATATGACATGAGAAGATTATTTTCTGGTCATTCCTGTTTGGGGTTCAAAATGCCTCTGCTGGGTATGGTATTACAGACCTGCAACTCCAGCACTAGGAAGGCAGAGGGAGGAGGATCACTGTGATTTCAAGGCTATTCTGGATCATTCTGAGGTCAAGGCCAGCCTGGAAAACAGAGCAAGACCCTATCTCAGAACAAAACTAAAACAAACAAAATACCTCTTGTATTTGATGTTTTTATTCCCAATGTTTTGAATGGTTTCTGTTATTATTTCACTAAATAGATTGTTTATATTATTAAGCTGAGACATTGTGCTACTCTTACACATCAAAAATTAATAAATTTAGTCTTTCACTCATGTCCCCTGGTTCTTACATGTTTTGTTCATAATTTGTGTTTTTCTTTACTACTGTCTGCATATAATAATTCATCTACCTTATTATCCAGCCTTGAAATTCTATCTTCTTGATCTTGTTTGTGAAGCATTCCACTGACTTGTTCTTTTCATTTCCAGAATTCCTGTTTGGTTCTTCTTCAGAATCTCTACCTCTTTGTTGAAATGTTCCTTCATATCCTGTATTATCTTTCTTAATTAATTAATTTATTTAAATCATTTTTAAGTCATTTTTTAAAAAATCAGTCTTTTGAATTACTTTGCATTTAATCCATTTTAATATGTTTGCATTTGGTTACTGATGAGTTATGGACATTTGGAGGAATAATGTTGCCTTGTTTTTTTCATATTTTTTTGTGTCTCTATATTGAGATTTGTGCATATATTGAGATTCATATCTCTTCTACTTTTTTGAGGGTCTTCTAGTTTCCAGTCATTTTTTCAAAGGCCTAATCCTCAGAACTGCCTAGAGAGGAGAAAACTAATCAGTATGAAGAACAACAAAAAGACAAACCAGACATTGACAGACAGTAAAAATCAATTAAAACAGCAACTATACCACCATTAACAACAGAAAAGAAATCAGCAATTAATAATATAGAGTAAACTGAAAGGCTAAAATTAATAGTTTAAAAGTAATAAAATGGAGGACTGGCATCCATTGATTGGGTAATCAGTGTAGTGGTTTATGGATAAGTACTTGACCCAGTGTGACACTTCTGCATCTGTCATTGGAGTGTTGGAAATTTCTGGCAAGTTTAGCAGTCTCTCCCAATAGGGAGCCTCCTCATCATGGGAAGCCCTGCTGTCTGTGCAATTCCAGAGTCAGATCTAGTCACATCTTTAAAAAAGTGTATGGATGAGGCCAACTAAAAACAATTTCTACATTATATCCTCCTGTCTTGTAAAAGCTGAGCATTTTTCTTAAATGACAGCTTTATATGTAGAACAATATACTTAGTCCAGGGAATTTCACGTAAAGTGAGCCATATGCACTCTAATTGTCTGTGGTTACTTCATTCACCACTCAGGGTGCTTGACTCTGGAGGAGACAGAATACCTGAAGAATGTTGCTGAAATGAGGATTTCTCCTGTTGGGCCACTAAGGCCAAGCTAATGGGGTCATCTTCCACTCACAGATGAAGTACACCAACTGCTAACCTCTCAAGAATCAGCATGCACAACTTTGGAAATGGGGCGTTCAGAACCAGAACTTCGAAGGTGCTCAACTTCCAAAGAGAAGAATCAAACTTTTTGCAATTTCTCATAAAACATTAAAGAAGTAACTTAGTATTCCACTAAAATTTTAAGACTTGCCATGTCCATGTAATTGCATTGTTAGCTCTCTTTCTTGCTAAATAACAAATGGCCTTCATTGTAACATAAAAATCTATGCCATTTCTCAGTTGCATTTAAAAGTTGTCAGAAGCTTTCCATCTTATAATATTTTTTGTATTTTTAAATTACAGAAAGCAGTGACAGAGCTAGAAAGGACCATAAACACAGTCTTCTGCACCAGACTTCTCATTTTACCAATAAGAAATTTAAACTCTGATGTACATGTAACAGTCAACATCAGAGAACTATACTGGCTGAGCCCAGCTAGATTCCAGGCCTTGGGATCTCAAGTCTTCTGCATTCTACTTTGAGCACAGGGCTATTTGCATTCAAATGATTGGAGTCTACAGTACCTAGCACAGAATGGGGCTCTGAGAAGGGTAACCATACCAATTTATTTAACCCTTACGTCAACCCTATGGGGAAGGTATGCTTGATTTTTCCCTATTTACAGGTATGGAAGCTAAAAGCATAAGATACTAAATTTCATCCCTAACATAGTAAGCAAGGGATGTGAAGCTGGGCAGGCTGCTCCAGAGTCCATGCTGTGGTCTGGGCCACTGTATAACCTTGTCAGCAAATGGGGGACATAAGGACAGGGGGAGTAGAGGAAGATGGATGAAGAGAAGACAAAAGAAAGGACAGGAAAGGGAGGAAGGGGGATTTCTAAAAAAGTAGAGAGGGGTCCTAAGGAAAAAGAAAAGAAACCTAGGGAGTAAAGGTAAAGAAAAACCTTATATTTATTTTTCTGGATATTACCATGCATTGTCTAGTTTCTCATCATAAATATCTAACAACCTATTATGTGTCTTCCTTTACATTAAATCTTTCTCATATGCCCAACTGTTCCACCCCCAATCAAGATAAGGAAATATGGTGGTGAAGGCTAATTTTAATTACTTTTCTTCTCTGTATATACAGGGAGAGCCTCCTTGGGGACTTTATAACTTATTAATTGTGCAGTTAACAAGATAAGCTTATTTCACAAGGATAAGGTACATCTTAGAAGCAAATAAAGCTAGTATCTTGAAGTCCTGTGGTTTTGGAGCAACTCAACCTAAATTTATTTTAGGTGCTTAAAGCCAAAATTAAGGCTGAGTTTTAATAGTTTTATTGAGGTATAATTGACCTATAAGTAATTGGCCATATGTAAAGTATACAATTTGATAAATTTTTACATATGTGTGTACTCATGGTCAAGATCAACATTTCCATGACCTAAAAAAATTTTGTTCATACCTGTTTATGTCTCTTCTCTCTTTCCTTGTACCATCATCCCTAAGCAACCACTGATCTGCCTTGTGTTACTACAGATTATATTCTGTAGAATTTTTTATAGAGTTCTACATTATGTATTCTTTTCTGACTTTTTTCATTAAGCACAATTATTTTTAAATTCATCCATATTGTAGCAGGTACTAATAATTCATTCCTTTTTATTTCTGAGTTGTATTTTATTCCATAGATATACCATAATTTATTTCCAAATTTACCTATTGATCAACATTTGGGCCATTTACAGTATTTGATTATTACAAATAAATCTTGTGTGAACATTCATATAAAGTCTTTGAATGGATGTATATTTTTTCATTTCTCTTGGATAAACACCCAAAGTAGAAAGGATGGTTAATGTACATCTATCATTTTAAAGACTCACACTTTCCAAAGTGGTGCTGCCAGTTTAAATTTTTCACCAATAGTGTATAAAGTCCCACATGTTCAACCTTCTTAACAACACTTGATGTAATTATTGTTTTAAATTTTAACTACTGCACTAGGCTTGTAGTGATATCAGATTGGAATTTTAATTTGTATTTCCCTAATGTGAACTGACATTGAGCCTTATTTCGTTGCACATATTTATATACCTCTGTATTGAAGTGCCTATTCATATTTTTTCACATAATTTAAACTGGGATATTTGGGGTTTTTACATAGTCTTTGAAGTATAGCTTCAATTTCATTTATTGTATCATCTAGGTAAGAAATTATTTTAGCACCATTTGTTGAACAAACTTTTGGTTCTTCACTGGATTGCCTTTGTGCCTTTGTCAAAAGTCAGTTTTCCATATATGTATGAAATAATTTCTGGGCTTTCTATTATTTTGCATTGATCTATTTACTAACCTTAATGTCAGTACCATATTGTTGATTACCATAGCTTTAAAATGTTGAGATGAGATAGTGTTAATCTTTCAATTTTGTTTTTAAAATTTGTTTGGGCTATTATAGGTCTTTAGCTTTTCCATGTGAATTTTACAATCAGTATTTATATTTCCCCACCATACCCAAAAAAAACAGTGGCTGAGATTTTGATTGGCATTGTGTTGATCAATTTGAAGAGAACTGACAACAATATTGAGTCTTTCAACCCATTAATATCATTTACCTCTCTATTTAGGCCTTTGATTTCTCTCAGCAGTGTTTTGAATTTTTCAGTGTAAATCTGTATTTTTGTTAACTTTTCCTCTAGTTATTTCATATTTTAACACTATGTTTTCATTTCAGTTTCTGATTTTTTAATATGGAAATGCAGTTGATTTTTGTACTTTGTGTGTGTGTGCGTGTGGTGCTGGAGATGGAACCCAGGGCCTTGTGCATGCAAGGCAAGAGTTCTACCACTGAACCACATCTCCAGTCCTATACATTAGTCTTGCATCCTGTGACCGCTTTAACTTCACTCATTATTTTTAGTAGTTTTGATATAAATTCCATTTGATTTTATTCATAATCATATCTTTTGTTAATAAAAACATTTTACTTCTTTCTTTTTAATCTCCACTGAAATATAGCCCCAGCAGCAGGAAGAAGACTTGGAGGCTATCCAGCTCTAACTAAGAGGAATCCTACAGTTAATTTGGTGATAAAGATGATCTGTAGGCAGTTTCCAACTTCCACATCAGGCTCTGACTCTGACTACCAAACAGGATATCAACAAGGTATTATTTTGGTGCCTTGTTCAGGCCCCACTCAAGGTTGCAGACTTATTGGGACCTACCCACAGCAGGAAGTGAGGTGAGATGGACACTGGAAATACAGAGGCTGGGAGGAACTGGACCTGCTTTTGCAGTAAGATCATCCTGGCTCAACCCAATGTGCTCAAAGACCTGAAATTCTCCAAGGGCTCACTTTGAAGAAGGGCTGCTGAGGAAGTTACTGTATGCCAATGCAGAGTGAGGCTGAGAGGAGATTTACCAAATCATCCATAATCAAATACAAATATAACTGTACCATGCTAGAGCAAATGCCAATATTTCATCATCTACCATCTCAAAAGAAAATGACATTAAAAATTAATGCCATCTACTGAAGTACACAGAGTATGTGGCAAAATGCTGAGGAAAGTACTATAGGGGCTGCTACACAGTTAATGATATATTATTTTCCTGGATTTTGTGATATTTGTGGTGTTTGTAACTTGTACAGTTTTGTAATTTATGATGTCATTTCTATTTTAAATATGTACTCATTTCAACCCCAATTTTATTATTTGTATATTTGCATCCTTTCTCCTAAAGAGTCCCCAAAATTTGGATCAGCTGGCCCTAGCATCCTGCCTTGGAGCCAGCTGATATGAACTGAAACCTCTAAACTTAAAGGAAAGCAGGGCTGGGAGAGGTGAGCTGATTTGCCAAACTGTACAGTCAGAACCAGGACCCAAGGCCTGTGGCTCCTCATTCAGAGCTCTTTCCTGTATGACTGGCACAGGAACCACACTGACCCCAGGCAGCTTCAGGAGCTTCAGTGATTGAAACACACCCGCTCAACCAGCATGCCGAGCCCCAGACAGCTTCAGGAGCCTCAGTGAGCCGTGTTCCACCACACACACCATTGTGGGAAACACAGCGAGCCCTGGACAGCTTTGGGAGCCTCAGTGAGCCTCACCTCACCCACCCCACAGCATCGTGGAAGCCATACTGAGCCCCAGGGATCCTTGGGATCTTCAAAAATGACAAAATGAAGAAGCAAAATGCAATCTCAGACCTCCACCCTAACCAAAACAAGTCTAGGAGTTACCAACATAGAAGAGCTTGGGAGTTACACACCTGAACTTTCTGAAATAAAAACAACTGAAGTAAAGAAACAATTCTATCAGGCTATAGCAGAAATCAGATCAGAAATAATCTCTCAGGTAAAAAAGAAAATGACAACAGTAATGAAAAAATTGCTCAGCACATTTAAAGAAGACATAAATTAAAAAATAGAGGAGCATAGAAAAATAATGGAAACCTTAAATGAACAATAGAAGAAATAATTAGAATGCATGAAACAGATTCAGAGATATTCAGGAAATTAAAAATTCCATCAAAAACTGGCAAAACCGCTTGAACAAAGCTGAATATAGACTTTCAGACCTTGAAGACAGAATTGCAACTAATGATCATGAAAGGAAGGATCTCTTAAAAATAACAGGGAACCCGGAAATAACAATGCAGGGGCTGCAAGAGGATGCAAAGGAAAACAATATAAGATTAATAGGTGTCAACAAAACAGCAGGAGTCAATACAAACGACATAAAAAGTATTTGCAGAAGTAACAGCAAAAAATTTCCCAAACATGGATAAAGAATCTGACATACAGAGAAATGAGGCATATAGAACTCCAATTATAGAACTCCAATAACCAAATAAATCTACATCCAGATAACACTAATAATAATGATAATAATCAAGATCCCAGAAATTTAGCAAGAGAACAGAATATTAAAAGCTGTGAAAGAAAAGAAACTGATCACCTATAAAGATAAGCCCATCAAAATCATGGCAGATTTCTGAACACAAACCATCAAGTCAAGAAGAATTTGAAGTGTTTCAGGTCCTGAAAGAAAACAACCTCCAACCTAGATTGATGTATCCTGCAAAACTATCCTTCAGAATTAATAGAGAAATAAAATTTTTCCACCACAAAGAATGCCTGAAGAAATGCATATGTGTGAAACCAACCCTACAAAGAATACTGAAAGATACTGTAAAGAGAGATAAAAATGACCACTATTTCAAGAACAACAACAGAAAGGAAGCACAAAGCAGAGCAAGCAATTAAACAGAGGGAAAAAGTTGGGAACCAGCAGCAGGAAAATAACATGACAAAGATAAGCCAATACATATCTGTTATAACTATTAATGTAAATGGCCACCATACACCAATCAAAAGAAGCAGACTGGCAGAATGGCTCAAGAAACAATATGCTGTATATAAGAAACACATTTAACTCAAAAGAAAATTCATATACTAAAAGTCAAAGGATGGAAAACAGTACTCCATGTGACAGGAACCCAGAAAAAGGAAGGGGTAGCTATTGTGTTTGCAGACAATGTGAACTTCAAACCAGGAATGTTCAAAACAGATATATAAACTCACTACATACTTGTTAGGGGAAAACTGTAAGAGGAAGAAATAATAATCCTAAATATCTATGCCCCAAATATAGGAGCACCCAACTATATAATACAAATTTTAATAGACATGAAAAATCAAATAAGCAGTAACACAATCATAACCGAGGACTTAAACACCCATTTCTCACAAAGAGGTCAACAAGACAAAAATCTGCAAAGAAATAACTAAACCAAACTTGTGAATAAATGTACTTAGTAGACCTTTACAGAGTGTTCCACCTAGCAACATTAGACTACACATTCTTCTCAGCTGTACATGGGACATTCTCTAAAATGGACCATGTACTAGCCCATAGAACATGCTTAAGTAAATACAAAGGAATTGAAATTATCCCATGCATACTATGAAATTAGAAATTATTGACAAAAGAAATTGCAAAAACTCCATAAACCCTCCAGAATAATCAATGGGTCACAGATGAAATTAAAGAAGAAATTAGTGAGCAACCCACTTGGGCCCCCTTCTGTCCCTCTTTCAGACAGAAGCTTTCTTTCCCTCAATGAATATTTTCTCCTATTTGAAAAAAGAAGAAATTAAACAATATTTACAATCAAATGAAAATGCAGATACAACTTACCGGAACCTGAGTATCACAATGAAAGCACTCCTCAAAGGGAAATTTATAGTGGTGAATTCCCACATTAGGAAAGCAGAATGAACACCAGTAAACAACCTTATACTGCACCTCAAGCTTCTAGAAAAAGAAGAACAAGTCAAGCCCAAAAAAGGCAGAAAATTATAAAGATCAGAGCAGAAATTGACACAATGGAGACTAAGAAAACAGTACAAAGAATTAATGAATTGAATAGATAGTTCTTTGAAAGAATAAATAAATTTGATAAATCCCTAGCCAACCTTATCAAAAAACGAAAGAAAAAACTCAAATTCATGCAATAAGGAATGAAAAGAATGAAATCACTACAGATCCTGTAGAAATTCAGAGGATCATCAATACTACTTCA